TCACGATGTAGCGCATCTTGCTTCTTGTTTTCGGTAAGAGCTTCTTGTGACTTGTGCGGGATCTTCGAAAAATCGAATCGAAGTCTTCGTTCCACGTTCGTCGTTCGTCCTCGCCTGTTCACAGATAGAGCATGCAGGCGCTAGCTAGAGTCTAGAGACTGGAGCGTGCGTTCATGGGCCCCGCGACTTGGACCTCCTCCATTAGAAGTCGGATAGCTCCGTGAAGTAAAACCTTTTTTTCATTTCAAAAATCTCCGACGACGGGGCACATTCACAAGGCCGAGCCGAAGCACGACGCACAGGCCACAACCCGCCCGAAGAAGGTGCGTGAGTATGGGTGTGCAGGTATCGACACGAGACGACCGGCACCGGTCCGGTCCGGCTATCACAGGCGGGGATGCGCTCGCAGCGCCCTATCTTCTCTGCGCATACTTGTCGAAACGAGCTTTGTCTGCTGCCGCACGCGCTGCCTTCTCTGCGGCTTTGCGCTCCGCCCGCACAGAGATCTGCTCCAACCGCTCCACCTTGTAGCCCGCGTTCTCCTGCGAGATGGCCTGCCGGTCCCTGATCTCCGCCACCTTCTTCTGGTAGATGCAATCGCGCGAGAGCTTTGTCGTCGCAGTGACCGGATTGCCGTCACAGTCCGTGTCCAGAGCCGACGATGGCGTCCACCAGTTGCCTTCGGCGTTCCCGCCGTTAGCAGGGTTGGCTCGGTTGGCGCGAGGCACCCCCAGTCCGATGGTGGAGGGACCGAGCCCTGCGACGGTCGTCGTCGGAAAGACACGCAGCACGGTGCGAGAAGCCGGAGCAAAGGTGAGGGCAGCCGAGCGGTGAACAGCGACCGGCGGCATGCTGTGAGGCGGAGTGATGAGCGTCAACGCGAAAAATGAAGGCAGCATGGGAGAGGCCCAGACCGCCAGCTCGTTCACCACCGAAGCGCCTGCTGATCCAGAACTCCAGCTCGAGCTCCGAAAAAAAGGCGAAAAATCAGGTGTATTTTATTTTTGCTTGGGGCGGCCAGAATGCTGAAATTCTGGAAAAACCTGGCCAGCCCCTGCGGTGCCCCTACCTACCCACCTACCTACCTACCCTCTCTCTCTCTCTCTCTCTCTCTCCCTACCCTACTTAAGGGAAACTAAAAAAGAAATCATAGGACGGGTAAGGTGTGCCGAGCCCAAATCACTGTGAGAGTCGTGATTTCTTGTTGGTTTTCTAAAATCTCTCTCTCACCTCCCTGGGTGACCAGCGCGACCGCAATGCCGCGTGTCACAGCACACCGCAATGCCGCGACCGCAAAAGAATTCTTGAAAAACAAACCTCTGTCAGCACAACAGGCACGACGAGAGGGGGGGGGGGGGGGGAACTACTGCTACTTGAGAGCAGGTGTGACGCCGCGCGAGCGACGCTCCGAGATCGCCCGAGATAGCGCGGCGCGGCCCCGAGATCGCCCGAGATAGCGCGAGATCGCCCGAGATAGCGCGGCGCGGCCCCGAGATCGCCCGAGATAGCGCGAGATCGCCCGAGATCGCGCGGCGCGGCCCGGGGCGGGGTGGATGGGTTGGGAGCGAGGGGGCGGAAGTGACCAGTGCGGTAGAGGGTCAGCTCGAGGCGCGTGAGCCGGACTTGTGGGCCGGACCACCCCCTCTTGTTATCTGCGTTGTTGAGCCAGGACTCAACATACGGGCTGTTGCCATCCCAAACTGTCACTCCCCTTTCTCCCGGCCGGGGTGGGGCGCGCGCGGGGGCGGCGGGTGTGCGGCGAGTGTGCGGGATGTCTGTGGGCCCGAGAGCGATATGCCATGTCCGCCTTGCGTTGTTTCATAACACCGAAGGCTAAGCTCAAAAAGAATCTTAAAATACAAGCCTCTCTCACAGCACACTGGCACGACAAGGGCGCGGACTGGCGCGGACTGGCACACACAGTTAGTTATAGTTACACACCGGCCTTTTCCGGAGCCTTGAAAAAAAGAAAAGGACGAGCTTCATCTCTGTTGTCGGGCTTCTCAGCCACAGCATACACTGCTGGGCCTTCCTCGACGCTCCCGCCCCTCCGCCCGCCGCTCCTCACGTCAAAGGCGGGGACTCGACGGTCGCAGCACTTTGCGCGCGAAAAAGCGATGCCACAGTCGCAGCACTTTACGCAGCCGCACGGGCGATGGGCGCCCACGCCGGCGCAGCTCTCCGTCCTCCACATGAGCTACGCCCTGGACAAGTTCCCATCTATGTCGAACCGACCTTGCAAACCGTCTCGGAGTGTCACCGCGCCAGGAGCCCGCGTCGCCTCGGCGCCAGCCCTGCTCCCTAATAGCACCCTGTGAGTCGCCTCTCCCTGCGGCGCATGCAGGTCCAGATTTGGCACCAGAACATGCGCCAGAAGGAGCGGAAGAGCGCAAAGGCGCTGCAGCCGCCCGGCGGCGCTGCGGCGCCCGCCTCCTCTGATATCAATGTGCTTGCGGCGGTGGCGCCGCCCTCGCCCGCGTCGTACGAGTCGAGCGACGAGCTTGGCGGCGAGCCTCCGCCGGAGGCGCGGCAGAAGCGGCCTCGAGGCGGAGCGACACAAGGCGCCGCTGCGGGCGGCAGCGGCGGCGGCGGCGGCGGCTGGGCCGAAGGGTCGCCCGTCCTTCCGACCTCACCCAGTGAGGGACCCTGCAGCCATCCCCC